ATACAACTAAGACATCTCATCCCTTATAATTATATAATAGGGTTTATGGTTAGTATTTAGGGTTTAGGGTTTAAGGTTTGTGGTTTAGTTAGGGGTGTTCATTCGGTTAATTCGGTGGCCGAACCGACCGAACTACCATTTTCGAATTAGCCGAACTTTTTTTTCTTTAACCGTTAACCGAACCGAACTTTTTTTCGAAATATTAACCAAACCGAATAAATTTCGGTTAATTTTTGAATTAACCGAAATTTTTTAGAATTTTAGAATTTAATATTTTTTTAATTAAAAAAAATAATTTACAATTAATTCAAATAATATCTAATTATAAATAATATCTAATTAATTTGATTCAAATTTGCATTTAGTTTTGATATTATTTTAATTAATTAATATTGATTTGGGTTTTAAATGGATTTTAAATGGATTGAGCCTCTTAATATAATTATATTTAAAGGTTAATTCGGTTAATTCAGTTAATTAATCGATTTCGAACCGAATTAACCGTTAACCAAATTCCAAAAAAATCCTTAACCGTTCCCTGACCGAATTAGTTCGACCGAATTAACCGAACTAATTCGGTTCGGTCGGTTAATTCGGTTAAAACTAAATTTTGAACACCCCTAGGTTTAGTGTTTATGGTTTAGGGTTTAGGTTTAAGGTTTAAGGTTTAGGATTTAGGGTTTAAGTTATGCACATTAACCTAACATAGAAATTATGCAAAATGATGTTATGTGACTCCTAAATAAATCATTCACATACTTATACATAAACATATCAACATGCAAAATAAATATACACAACTACTTAAAGAAGACAATCCTAAACAGGGACTAAATTATTACCTAAACTAAAGTGTGCTTACACGATAGATGCATGCATACGAATGAAATGCGAATGCACATACATTAAGATGAAACAATATAAGATTAAACCTACTATTAATAACTTAAACTCATATTTTAAAAATGCCATGAAGGACCAAAACAATATAAAACTGAAAATAGGCATACAAAATAAAAATTACTCATTAAATTAAACAAGCCAACTAAGGGATTACAATGTCAAATAATTAAAATTACAAGACACAATTGAAAACAAGCAATTCTTGAGAAAGAATCTTGGCCATATCCTTTTCATGGAATCTTGGGAATATGTTCAACTTGACATAGCTTAGATATTTCCTCAGCAATTCTTGAGAAAGAATCTGCAATGTAAACATATTATTTGGAGGACAAGATATGAAAACTACAAGCAGTTAAAACAGCATAATAGAACAGCCACTATGAACCTTTGAATCAGCTAGTCCAGAAGAGGCTCGAGTCTCTTCTTGGGATTCACTGAAGGCTTTGTCATCCATATTAGCACCCTTAGGTTGTGACCTGAAGTGGCTGTCAACTACAAACTGTGCAAGCATTTCTACTGTTACAGGGTCAACAACATCCTGAAATTGAAACCGAGTACTTTTTAATCCTATTAAGATCTGATAATAGAACCCAAGAACTACAACAACAAATCAAAGGAACAACAAGTGAAAAAAGAAAGAAAAAGAGTGAGATAGTGTATTAATTGTTTGGCAAAAAGAGATTCATTTGAATTCTTTTTTCCTTGCCAAACTTCTCCTTATCCAATCAGTAAGTCGCTCACAACATTAGTATTACTATTCCTGTTTTGTTTTCTTTATCAATCACTTCTTTACTTTTGTTGTTTTTCATTTTTATGTTTCTATTTTATTTACCGCTTTGTGTTTATCTCATGATTAATGAGATGAAATTATAAGCAGATCTGATTAGATTTGTTTCTTCTCTTCGTTTGAATCTGACTGTCATTTTATTTTATTTTGTTTTTGTTCTTGTTTGTGTTCAATGAAATTTTGAGATCTGGTACTCGTTTGTTTGAAGCTGTGTTTGATCGTGAATTCGGTTTTTTCCTGCTTCAACAAATTTGCATATGTTAATTATTGTTTTTCATCTTACTCGGTTGCATTAATCCAATCAATAGGGCGAGATAAGTCCATCAATTGTCTGATTAAGTGCTCGAGGTCTGATTATGGTTCCATTGCCATGTTGAATCGAAGTTTTCGTTCCTTGATCAGGAGTGGAGAGATCTATAAGTTGAGGAGCAGAACGGTGTTGCTGAGCATTGGGTTTACTTTTCTTGCACCTCCTTCAATGGGAGGCATTTGATCCTATTAGACATAGGTGGATGCATTTGCCAAGGATGCCTCCCAATGAATGTTTCATTTTTTTCAGATAAGGAATCATTGGCCGTGGGAACTGAGTTGCTTGTCTTTGGGAAGGAGGTAACTTCTCAGGTTATATAGATATAATATTTTAACAAATTCATGGACTTCTGGGACTAGTATGAATGCTCCATGGTGCTTGTTTGGGTCAACTAGTCTTGGGGAGATTGCAATTTTAGCTGGTGGTTGTGATTCTCAGGGTAATATCCTGAGCTCTGCAGAAATGTACAATTCTGAGACTCAGAAATGGGAGACTTTACCAAGCATGAATAAGCCAAGAAAATGTGTAGTGGGGTATTTATGGATAAGAAATTTTATGTGATCGGAGGAATTGGTGGAGTTGGGAAGGATCTACGGGTTCTCACTTGCGGCGAGGAGTATGATTTAGAGACAAAAAAGTGGACTGAAATTCCTCAGGAAGCTTTGTTTTTGAAGCAGAGATCAAAGATGAGAGTGAAAAGAAGCTTGGAATATATGGATTATGCATTTGTGAGTTGATATCCCACATTGGTGGTCCTTGGGTGAATAAGGGGTAAAGTGAGTGATAAAAGGGGATGAGTTTTCAGCAAATTATACTTAACCTGTCGAGCTTGAATTGAGCTTGAATTGAGTTTTAAATGAGCTTGAATTGAGCTCAGTCTCGAGTTTTAGTTGAGCTTTTGAATTTTTTTAGTTCGAGTTTTTTCGAGTTCAAGTTGAGTTTCAATATTATTTGAGTCTAGTTTGAAAATTTTAGGCTTACGAGTTTTTGAGTTGAGTCAAGCTTATAATTAAAGTTTTTGAGTTCGAGTCAAGCTCGGTGATCTGCTCAACGAAGTCTGCTTATCATTGGTTACTAAACAATTTAAATTTGGAGGAAGAACATCAAAACTCTGGCAAGCTTTGGAGTCTGCTCCTGTCCTTCCAAAAATCAAATTTTTTGGCTGGCGCGTCTTTCATGAAGCAATCCCTACTGGTTCGAAACTTCTTGCTGCAAACTTAGATGGTGGTATCTGCCAATTGTGTGGTGTTGCTATTGAAACTAGTCTCCATGCACTCCGAGACTGTCCCCTTACGAGAGATGCTCTCGCCTTCACTCATTGGAACAACAAGATATTCAACCCTAATATTCTCACCTGCAAGGATTGACTAATTACGTCCTGGAGTTTATAGATGGTGAGCACTTTGCTCTTTAACTCTCCCTACTCTGGAACATTTGGAACAGAAGAAACAAGCTGAAGCATGAAAAGATTTTGCTGCCGCCAAAAGTGGTCCATGACTATGCAAAGTTCATCCTCTCTGATCTCCAATCACTCCCAATTCAAAGACCAGCCCCAGTCGCTCCAGAAAGAACTTGTTGGATTCGCCCTCCGCATGGTTGCCTGAAAATAGATGTTGACGGTGCATGGTGTGAAACTCGAGAGCGGCAGCCATTGGTGTCATCGCGAGAGATCATCATGGCCTGGTTGTTGGGGGCCATGCGAGAAGGCTAAAATTTGGTTGGTGCTGAAATTGTCGAAGGTCGAGCGTTTACCGAGGGTGTTAACCTTGCCATTGAAAACGGATGGGATTCGATCATCATTGAAGGGGATGCTAGAAGTATTGTTCAGAGCTTGACGAATAACAACCCTGATCTCTCAGTTACTGGTCTTTACCTGGAAGAAGCTAGATGTCTTCTTGCTTCACATCCGAATATCAAAGTGTTTACCCGTCGTGACGCAAACACTGTTGCTCATACAAGTAGAAAGAAAAAATTAGAAGAGAAAGAGATACATATAACTTCTTTATCCTGAATCTTAACCTTCACATTGTCGTTGGTGTTGTTGGATTCAACCTTTAAGGTTATGGTCTTCCCCGTTAGGACTTTTATGAAGATTTGCGTTTTCACGACTGCACGTCTCTCTTTGTTTCAGAAAAATTCTATGATCGAGCAGTAAATCAACACAGAAAATGTCGTCATTTCATTAAATATTTGAAGCTATTTGTGGCATTTTGAAAAAAAGACACTACAGAAATTTTGAGGTATTTTAATACAAACGCCACTACAGAATTAAATAATTACGGTGATTGTTTTTACAAACGCCACTAAAGTACTTTTCGATTGCAATATTTACTACAAAACACCACTACATATAAATTATGTTGCAACGTTTTATTATAAAAATGCCACTAAAATATGTCTATAGCGGTATTTCTCCAAAAACGTTACCATATATCAGTCTATTGCAGCACATTTCCATAAACGATGCGATATGTACAAAATTAACGATTTTTACTCAAAAACACAGCTAAAAGCTTCGCTACAAACTTGTTTTGTTGTAGTGATGTTCCATGCCAACAAAGATGTAATTGCAAATATACAGTAAGCACAATATTTTAGGAGGCATTAGATTCATGGTATGTAAGATTACCTTTGAGAGTAGAATTCCTGGAATGTATCATTACCTAACATGAATGTAGCATTACCTAACATATGATTGGGAATGTTACATTTGGGAGTAGAATGGAGGAAGCGATGACAAAGGAGGGAAATCACAGAGTTCATTATGCAAAGCAGCAGTAAATTCACACCAACAAACACTTTTTTTATCTCATTTATCATTATGTATTATGTACTATAAAAGAGATAATTTCTACTTACAGGTATATCTTGGGGTTTGTTTTTCTTCATTTTCCGATGAAACAAACAATTATCACAAGCTTATTTCGTTGAGGCCAAATGGTACAATGAAAACCGCGTACCAACAGTAGAAAAGTACATGAAATGCATTGGTATCACCTGGCTACATCATGGACACTATCACATCTTTTGTTGGAATGGGAGACGATGTTACAGAAGAAACCTTCAATTGGGCATCTAACAACCCTAAGATCATCAGAGTTTCGTCGATGATCGCCCGTCTCATGGACGATATCGTTTCACGCAAGGTACCAACCGTATTAGTCTTGTTTTTTACTACTTCATCTGATCATACGTTCACATAATGTTCGATTTCGGGGTGCAGTTTGAGCAAGAGAGAGGACACGTTGCGTCGGCCGTCGAGTGCTACATGAAGCAACACGGAGTTTCGGAAGAAAAGGCATGCAAGAGTTGAGTAAGCTGGTTGAGAATGCCTGGAAGGATATAAACCAGGAGTTGCTGATTGAACCATCAGCTGCCGCTGCGGTTCCATTGCCGGTCCTCACCCGCGTTCTGAATCTGACTAGAGTTATGGATTTCCTTTACAAGGAACGAGATGGATATACGCACGTGGAAATGTTGTCAAGACTGGAATCGCTTCGTTGTTGATTCATCAAGTGTCGATCTGATGAAGGTAATGCATTTGTGGACCTGAAATTCCCAGAAACAAAAGGAAAAAAACAACAAAGACAAAGAAGGCCGTGCCGTACGAATCAAGCCAGTAAATATAATTTAGGTTTGACGACAAACATTCAGATGAAGTAACTGCATATTATAAGAACTTAAATGTATTTAGAATTCCAAGACCTTTAGATGTTGAATTCTGCACCTATTGATGATTGTGGTTCTTAAACTATTATTTCCCATAAATAATAGCGGTAATGAAAAGAGTGCAGTTAACTTAACTCTCTTATTACATTATCATATATAACCGTGCATCTTCGTATTAATATTAAGGGATTAATACGCTTTTAAGTACATAAATTATACTTTAAATTGAGTTTTAGTGGTTATTTTTTTTAATACTAAAAGTAGGTCTATATCGTTTTCTACGTATACTTTTATGTGTCCATCATTATATTTTTAAATTTTTTGATTTGTCAATAATAAAATATTTTTTTAGAAAAAGAAAAAAACAAAAAATAAACCCCCACCCTCCTCGTCGTCCATCAACCACCCTTCACTAGTTGTTTGTGGCGTGTCGATGTCACCCCGAGTTTGCCATTGTCCCATGATCAAATTCCGACCATCGTCATCACGTCGATCATCGTCCGTCAGAAAGTAGTTAGAAGTCGCGTTGTCCTCTATCTTCGATCACTACAATAATCCATTTTTACGGCAATCGTTGCTTGAATCATGGGGGTTCGGTGGTTGAGTGTTTGAGAGATTGGGTGTCGTCTAGATTTCGATCAATTGACAACGATTGTGGTGGTAAGATAATTGAAATTAGAGTTTTTTTTTATAATTTCAAAAATTTTGGGTTTTTTCTATAAAAATAATAATTTAAGGTTTTCTATTTTTTTTAAATTTTTTATATGGTCGACAGTGTCAGATAACAATCAAATTTAAAAGTCGTTACGGTCTAGACACCTAAAGCTTAACGCTGAAAACTTTAGCACCTATTTTTAGCAAAAAAATCTTTATGCAAGAAAATCAATTTAAAATATAATTTAAGCACTTAAAATTGCAATGTTAACTTTAGTATCGTAATATACTAATATCTGACTTTATTAATAAAAAATAATTTATTTTTGAATTTAAATATCATATTAATTTTGTTTAGAATCTTATTATTACATACTATTAAGCTAAAAGGAAAAACAAATATTGAATTCAGTCAATATGTGTATGGCAAAGAGGAGATGAAGAACTTGGAAGTCTGTATTTCATTTCAGGTTTATTCCGATTCGATCCAAATTTTACAACACTTCATATATCCCTACTGTTATATCTGTACACTGCCAAACATGAAAGGTGTAGGGGAAAACGCCGGTAGGAACACCGGCACCGAATTTCGCCTGCAAATTTTACCAAATACAACTCTTTAATTTTCCGTAAACATTCTAATAAATTAACTCAGTTAAAATTACCATCGTTAATGAAGTTTAATATTTTAATGTATTTTAGATAATAAATAAATAAAAAAATTACCCGGTCGTTGCTATAGCTTCGAACATGAACGTTAGAACGTGACCCCGAAGAGCTCTTCCTCTTCACCCCTCTACCTACTGTCGTCGTTGTCCTTGTCGGCGTTTTCTTTCTGTTCTCCGCCATGATGTTATCCTCCGTTATGGAACACAGGAGGGCTTCCACTGGGGATTCGTAGACCCGTCGACCCTACCCTCACCCTATTCCTATCCGTCTTCCTCCTCCTCGATGCTGCCCTCGTACCCGCAGGCATCAAGGACCTTGTCTCCTCCTCCTCTTCCGTCGCGGGTGTCACCGCCACCGTCACAACCTCCTCCATCATCGACACTTCATGTGTCGCCGTGCCCAAACATGACACACACTCCAACAAAGATCTCATGGCGAACGAACTATATATAGAAAAGAAAAGTAGAATAAACAAAGAGAAGAAGCGGGGTAAAGGGAAAGTGTTTAAGACTTTAAGTGGAATTGAGGTCTAATTTATAGCGTCCCAAACGGTATTGATTTTGTGTGTTTACTAAGAGGCAAATGCAAAGAATTGTGTGGCTGCCTTCGTTCATGGCATGAGGGCTTGTGTGCTGAGTTTGCACTCCATATTTATTACCAGAAAACGTTTTTTTGTTGTTGTTAGAATGAATATTCAATCAAGAGTCGAGTTAAAATTTTTCGAATTGATCAATTTTTTTTAAAATTCAATTTTTATTTAAAATTTTTAATATATTTAATTTTTACTTGATTTTTAGGGTAAAATGCATAAATGGTCTCTTAATTACAGGATATTACTTTATTAAGTATTTGATTATTAAAGTTACAAATGGTTCTTTAACTATAGATTGTTGTTTTTTTGAGTCCACTGACTATTAAAAGTTATAAATGATCATTCGACTATTTATTATGTTCCAAACTCTTCATTTTCTGTTAAAATTTGTCGATTGTTTAAGTTGGACGTCACATGATTGTAATATGATAGTCATTTAAGATTCTAAGATCAGATTTTATCACATGATAGTCAACAGTTAACGTTGAGCATAAAATATCATCCATTTTTTAGCGAAAAAATGATGAGTTTTGGAACATAATTAATAGTCGAGTGACCATTTTGTAAATTTTAATAGTCGAAGGACTAAAAAAAAATACTCTATAAAAAAGGATAATTTTATAACTTTTAATAGTTGAGGGACTTAATAAACAATATGTTATAATCGGGATCATTTATATACTTATTCTGATTTTTATTATATGTTTATATATAGATGATTTTTTTTATAAAGGAGTGAAAGTTTGATAAATTAGACCCATTTTGAACAAGTTTATGGATGCAATGAGGACTTCAATTAAATTAATTAATAGTTTTTTTTCCTTTTTTTTGCTGAAATGACGATCATATCATTTTTGATACGATCTGATTTGATTTCTTTAAAATTTCATTAACTTGATTAATTAAATTGTTTAACGTCATTGATTCCTT